GCACAGGGAAAAGAAAAAATGCTGAAAACTAGGACCTGGTAGGGGAAGATTAAGAATAATAATAAAGAGGACAAAAGTATTAATAATATTAGTTGTTTTAAAACAGACAAATATAAGCAAACTAATCACCAGAAAAAAGAAAGAGAAAAAAAATATTGGTGGAGGACAGGGCAGGGCACCCAGGCTCTGTCTGAGCACAGACTGTGATGGAGTTCCTGTGGGCCCAGAAGGTAGGTGGGAGTGGAGAATGGCTGCACCTCCATTCACCAAGAGTAACAAGAGAAATGTCGTACCTTGTCAGCCTTGCAGGTCCTGAGTGTCCTTGGGGTTGCTGGAAAGTAGAGTGTGTTCTTAAGACCCAGGAATCTGCGAGAGCGCTGTCTCTTTAAATATTCAACATAGTCAAGCTGCTTTTTGAACCTTCACAATGGCAGCGCCCTCCGGACCAGCAAAAGTCCACAGCTCAGCCCACCTTTCTCTTCATCTTCTCCGTTTGTTCCCCAGCCAACGTGCACAGTCCTCCATGCAGTCCCTGGCTAGCAGGGTGATTTTTAGGTTAATTCTTAGGTCCTACCACCACTCGGGAATCTCCAAGCTGTCTGTGCCGTCAGGATCACTCAGGATTGCTGCCAGACTGCAGCTCCGTCTGTCTCCTTTTTTGGAATTTTCATGCACATTCTTCTGCTAGTTGGGGTTTAGTCCACTTGTATATCCTTCCCTTCAAGACTCAGGGGTCCAGGATTATCTTCTGTGTCTGTGTTAATTGGTTTCCCTTTTCTTTGTTGAAGAGGGTCTGTGCAGTCTTTCTGCCTAGTCTGCCATCTTGCCGGATCCCAAAAAACTTTTTTCTTTACAAGTTTTCTTTTGTTTAATTTATTTTTGACAGCCATTTTTATTTATTTATTTGCGGTGTTCCCTCCCCTCCCCTCCCATCCCTGATAACCAACAAAAAGTTTCCTTCCATATATAAGCCTTTCCTTGACTTTTTACAATATTGAGCTAATACGATATCTGTCCTTCTGCGATTGGCTTACTTCACTCAGCATCGTGTCCTCCCAGTTCATCCATGTTACACGGTGTTGTGCGGACTCTCTGTTACCCTTTAGTGTTGCATAGTTTTCCATTGTGCCAAGACAAACAGTGGACTGTCATTAGGCATGAACTGTACCTAACTGTTGTCTATCACGTTTGTATTCGAGTTAAAGACAGTTTTAGGCATAGAATGTGTTCCTGATCTGGAGATGGCCTGTATTTGGTTTGAGTTGTTGTATTGGTAGAGTTCTTTATGCATTCCAGTTATTAAATTCTTACCTGACGCATGGTTCCCAGAAGTTCCCTTCCAGTCTGTAGGTTCTGTCTTCACTTTGCTGTTAAAGTCCTTTGTTGAACACAAGTTTTAAATTTTGATGAAGTTCAGTGTAGCTATTTTGTATTTTGTCTGTGGTGCTTTTGGTGTTGGATCTAAGAACTTGCTGATAAAAAGCCATCCTGTGTTTTCTTTGAGAAGTTCTGTGGTTTTTGCTCTTGCATTTGGGTCATTGGTCTGTTTTGAGTTCATTTTTGTGGGGGGGTAGCTCCTCTTTTGCTTGTGTGAACTCTTGTGTGCGTTACCACTGAGTAGAGACTCTTCCTTCCCCCAGGTTGGACTTGGGGGGAGAATCAGGTGACTGCTGACGCCATGTTTAGTTCTGGACTCTCAAGTGTGGCTCCATCAGGCTGTGTGTGCTGCCCCTGAGGGTCCATCATTCCATTGCCAATCCAGGTGTCTGCCCTCCTGTGGACTCTTCCTGAACTGCGTGAATTCTGGGGACACCCTGTTCTCCGGGATAGGGTCTTTCAGGTCCAGTGGGATCAGGCCTCATTTTAGCTGCGGAGAATGGAGCAGCCAGCCCTGTGTTTAGGGAACCAGTGACTCAGTTATTTTCCACACAGGGAACTGAAGCCCCAGCAAGGGAGAGAAGGCAGTTGTTGAGGAGGAGGGGGTACGGGCGGGTGTGTGGTGTGTGTGTGTGTGATGCTTGGAGAGCTGCCCGGCCTTGTGGTTGACCTGTCGCCTTTGCTGTCCCCAGAGGAGCCCAAGGTGGGCATCAAGACCATCAAAGTGTACTGCCAGCGCATGCAGGAGGAGAACATCACCCGTGCCCTCATTGTGGTGCAGCAGGGCATGACGCCCTCTGCCAAGCAGGTGGGTGCTGGGGGAGAGGGCACATGCTGTTGCAACAGGAAGTGGTCGCGTGTTTGCGTCAGCCCTGACCACTTCCCCCTCTGGTTCTGCCGCCTCCCCTTCCTGCCTCTCGCCCCCTGTGGCCCCTCCCCGTATGACCCGACTGGGTGGGTTTGACCCAGGACGCCTTCCCCCAGTGCTGGGTCGGAGGACACCATCTGGGTGTGTCGATCCCTGTCTGAGCTCTCAGTCACATGGGTGTGAGTGGGGCTAACGTGTGGGCACAGGGTCGTGCTGTCACATGTGTCGGTCCCTGTCTGAGCTCTCAGTCACGTGGGCGTGAGGGCTAACATGGGCACAGGGTCATGCTGTCACACGTGGAGTGCAGCAGCCTCTTGGCATTTGGGCAGAGCAGGCTGTGCGGCGGTGCCCACCTGCCATCATGTCACCACAGCTCACGACATGAGCCCCATCCCGCACATACATGGGCTGTTTCCCTGGTTGTGTCCTGGAGGCCTCCCTGGGGGGAGGACACGGAAGTGGGGCGGTCAGTTCAGGAGCTGGGGTGCACTTGCCACAGCGCTGAGCTCCATCTCCCCACAGTCCCTGGTCGACATGGCCCCCAAATACATCCTGGAGCAGTTCCTGCAGCAGGAGCTGCTCATCAACATCACGGAGCATGAGGTGAGTGGCTGCAGGGCAGGGCGCGGGGCTCCCTGGTCACACCCAGGATGGGCCTGTGCTGGGCAGGAGCCGGGGGAGGCGGGCTCGAGACCCCAGGTCCACCGGTGTGCGGACGCAGCTCCTGCTGTTAGTCGGGCTGAGGATCTGGGGCTCCCGGAGTAGGTGTGGGGCTGTCGGCTGAAGAGAGCAGAGCCAGGGTTCTTAGGGTGTGGCCCCTGGGCTGGTCACCTGGGTGTCCCGGTGCCGGGTGACAGTGCTTCTCTTTGCAGCTGGTGCCTGAGCATGTCGTCATGACCAAGGAGGAGGTGACAGAGCTGCTGGCCCGATAGTATCCTTTCTGGAAGCCCTGTGGATCTGTCTCTCTCTCCCCACCCCCTCCACCTTTTCTGCCTTTGACTTGCTGTCCTCTCCTCTCAGACGTCCCTATGGCTTTTCCTTGACCACACCCCTAGTAAGCTCCGGGAGAACCAGCTGCCCAGGATCCAGGCTGGGGACCCGGTGGCACGATACTTCGGGATAAAACGCGGCCAGGTGAGGGTGGCCCCTGCCCAGGACCCCGATGGTGGGCCCAGCGTGAAAACCCAGGTAGCTGAGAGGCAGCAACCTGAGGAGAGGACCACGCTGGGCCGGTCCTTCTGGCCCTGGGTTTGGACTGGCAGCCTCCCTCCTTGGAGAGCCTGAGGTCATGGGGGGCCTGCCACCCTATTTGACCTGGAGACTGTCCAAAACCCCTGCACTGACTGTGCTCCCCACCCCCTACAGGTGGTGAAGATCATCCGGCCTAGCGAGACAGCTGGCAGGTACATCACCTACCGGCTCGTGCAGTGATGGTCGCACTCGGGGGAGGGCCCACAGGTGAGAGCTCTGCTCACAGAGGCTGAAGGAGCAAGGCGTGTCCCTGTCATCTTCCCTACCCCGTGGCCCACCCAGGTGCCAGAGGGGCACTGGGTGTACACAGGCGTCCTAATGCACACCTGTCTCTGCTCCCAGACTCCAGCCACCACAGAGGTGGGGTGCAGTCACCCGAGACTGCTGGGACAAGGGTGGGTGTTTTGTTGTCTCAGCCCTGGGGGTGCCTTGGTAGGGGCTGTGGCATCTTGGGGACTAGGGTGGGCAGCGCCTTACGCTGTCGAGACCCCCCTTGGCATTGGCTCCAGGCCTCTCTGTCCTGGAGGAGCTGCCCTGTCCAGGGACCGCATGTTGCCTAGCCCTGTAACACTGCATCAGGGTCAGGCTGCCTGGCTTCCCTCTTCTGGGCCACGGGCTGGTGGCCTTGGCGGCCCCCATGGCCTGGCTGTGCCCCTGGGGCCTGCATCTACACGCAGGGCACCCACCTGTGTTCCTTCAGGCCACCTCAGTGCCTGCATCGTTCTCTCCCAGGCCCTGTCACCATCTGCAGAGCCAGCCTGGGCCTCTGAGTGGGGCGAGGTGCCCAGCCCCAGGTCTGCCCACTCACGGAGCCACCCTCTTCCTTCTACCCAGCCCTGAGGATGATGGGCTGTGGGACCAGCACCCTCAGGGTACCATCGAGGATGAGGACGGCACACTCTGGCCAGTGAACACATGACACACGGCGGGTCCTTGGAGCCTGGTGGGCTGTCAGTGCTGACGGGCGGGTCTATGCAGGCCACTGCCCAGAGGGCAGAAGGCTGTGGGGACCCGGCCCACAGCAGCCAGCATCACAGGAGATGTCACGGGCGAATCCGGGTCCTTCCAGCTTCCTCTGCCGGTCCAGGCTTAGACTCGGCCAGGGGTGAGGACAAAAGGGTTTGGAGCCACGAGTTGGCGCTGAACACGGGGCTGCTAACAATAAAGGTCATGTGAGTAACTTGTGTCACAGATCTGAGCATGATGGCTGGTGACAGGGCACGGTCTGACACGCATCCTCCCACAGCAGGGTAATTATTCCCTCACATTAAGAGCCTGCTACAGAGCTCCGCTCCCTGGTCACCGCCCAGTCACACGCTCCCATTCTGGTCTTTCCGTGTGTGCGCACGGTGGCCCCCATGTGTGTGCACGGTGGCCCCGGTGTGCGCACACGGTGGTGGGAAGGCAGCTCCTTGCCTCGCTGCCTTTCTGTTGCACACAGGGCACTGGCCATGGTTGTGCCTCTGGACTTGCCTTTCTCATGGGGTCACAAATCCTTCTTGGACCTCCCATAGGGCACTGCCAGAGTGGGGTCCTAACACGGAATGTTCTGGAGGTGGTAACAGCCAGCATCTGGTCTTCAGGGTGTCGTTGTCCTCCCCACTTCCCACGTCCCCCATCTGTCCCCGTGTGATGTGAACAGCTGGTTCACTGGGCCATTGGTGCTACCCTTGTGCGGGGAGAGGTGACTGTGTCCTTCTGTCCTTTGTATGTGCGTGGTAGGGGTAGGGTCTTGCTTTCTGGAAGTTTCTATTTTCCTTACATTTGAATCTTTTTCATTGACGTGAAATTCACACTATATAAAATTAGAGTGCACATCTCATCTCAATTTAGTTCTAGAATATTCTGTCACCCTTGAAACAAACTCAGCACCCCTAAGCAGTGACTCCCCTCCTCTGCTATCTCCTGACGCTGTCTGTAGCTCTGCCTGTCCTGCACAGTTCATGTCAGTGGGCTCAGACACTCTGGCCTTCTCTCATGGTGTCACGGGGTCTGTGCGCGTCGTAGCATGTCAGCTTTGTTCCCCTTTGGGACTGATGGCCTGATGTGCAGGGAGGCCTCGTGGCGTTTCCACCTGTGGGTGGGCACGGGGTGTGCTGCCTCAGCCTGTTGGGAATTGTGCTGTTGGCCTGTCTGTTCTGACCTTTTACGTGGATGGGAGGGAGGCTGGCAGACTTTGTCTGTGGAGTGTGAGAGTAAACGTGTCTGTGTGGGCCACAGCTGGGAGTCACAATCTCTCTGCCACTGCAGGGTGAAAGCAGCCACCAAGCCCACAGAGAGTGGCCGTGGTTGTGCGATGCACTGTACTAGTATATGAAGTGGGGGGTGGCCGCCCTCAGAACGCAGCGCTGAGGGCTTTCTGAGTGTGACGTGTTTGCTGGGCTGCACCATGCAGCTGATCTCAGCAGGGCCCTAGGTGCAGTGGGTCTCGGCTGCCCTGCCAACAGAAAGGCCAGGCCCCTCCCCGGCGTGACTCTCATGGTACAAATGCATCAGGTATGAGTGACACGGGGCGCTGCTTTTCTCTGAGGGAAGCTGCCGGCCCCATGCGCAGGTGGCTTCCAGGCTGGGCCTGGGTTGCTGCGTCCCAGTTGGAATTTCGCCTCTAGGGGTACACATGAGGGCCCAGCAGGCCGCACTGCCTCAGCAATGGGAACCCGCATGCCTTCACCTCTTACCCCAAGCTGCTCAGCACTGTACCTTTTTAAGTGAATGCATTAACAGCCGGACCTCTCAAGTCACACCTGCCACACCCCCAGGGCACAGTGGCCGCGTGGGGCTGGGGCTGTCGTTGGGCAGCACAGATGAGCACTTCTGTCATCCAGAATGCTCTACCAGATAGCGTGCGCGAGAAGGGTCTGTGACGTAAGAATGTTTGCAAGCCCACCTTGAGGACCGCCCAGTGCGGAGGGCGAGGACGAGCCCCTCTGTTCCCCGGCCTGTGCTGCCAGAGCGGATGGACTCAGCCCAACACTTTATTTTAAGCAAAGTAGATGTGCAAGTTGAGAACCAGCCCAGAACCTGTGGGAGAAGCCACCATGTCTAGCCCAGGTGTGCACAGCAGGATTTCCAGAGAAGTCCTGCGGTCGGTGTCCAGCCTCCACCCCCACCATGGCCTCTGCCCAGGCTTCTAAAGCTTCCTTCTGTGAGAGCACCCCACGGGGACATAGAACGGGACGCCCTCAGCTTGGCTGCCCCAGACCGAGCCCTGCGCTCCCGCCGGTGGCTTAAACCAGCTTGGGCCGCCTCTTCCCGTGAACGCCCACCGCAGTGCATTCACCACTGAGTCTTGGGGGCAGCTGGGCACCGGCCGCGTTGTTGGACTGGTTGGTGTTACACGCGGAGAGCTGCCAGGCCGGCTCCTCCTCCTCCGCAGCGGGCGGCTCCAGAGGCTCCTCGCTGCTGCTGAGCGCGCCCTCCTCCAGGCTGGCTTCACTCTCCTGCTTGTCCAGGACGCTCAGGCCGTGCAGGGCACTGGCCCCCGACGACTGCAGGTCACAGGCCTCCTCCAGCTCCGAGTCCGAGTCATTGGATGGCAGGTGGGATCCTGGGGAAGACCAAGGGAGACAGAGTCAGGGAGGGAGACAGACACGGGGAGAAGGGGGCAGACATGAGCAGGGGGACAGGAGGTAGAGGGATGAGGAACAGAAGTGGGGGTGTGGGGGCACAGAGACTACAGACGAAGGAGGAGAAGCAAAGACAGCCAGGAAGATAAAGGGGAGCAGAGACAGGTCACAGAGGGACATGACAAAGAGAGAAGCAGAAGACACAGGGGTGGATGAGACACAGATGGACAGACCAATGAAGGAAACAGCCCCACTCACCGCGGGGCCCATCCTCGTGCGTCTCCGGCGAGGGCTCAGCTACTGCCTCACCCGCCTGCGAGAACGGCACCTGCACCACACCCTCGGGCCACTGGCCGGCCGCCCCGTCCTGCAGGATGCACGGGGTCAGGAAGACCAGGCCTCAGCTCGACCCACCCTCCACCTTACAAGTTAGTAAGACCTGGTGCCATGGAAGATGGACCACACACACGGCTATCCCTGCATCCTAGAACCTGGTCAACGGAAGCAGCCATTCCAGACAGAACTGAGCCCAGCGCGGACATGAGCACCAAAGCTGCCGCAGTGCCCTCCCAGCCCAGCTGCTGCAAACCGTCCTGACCCACCAGCTGGGAGCCTGCTGCTGCCCAGACATGGACAGACGCCAGGAGACATACAATGAGGGTGTGCTGTCAGGGACAGAAGCCAGCCGAACCCAGAGAAGCAGAGAGCGGCGGTGCCCGTGACGGGCTAATCTGGGTCCCAGCTAGTCTGCAGCACCCACGAACATGACCCGTTTGGCATCAGAACTTCTGGGATTGTTAGCTGTTAAGCTGTGATGCTGGATCAGGGTGGGTCTTAGTACCAACGGAGAGGCGTCCATACGGAGGAAGGGGAGATGTGTGACAAAGCAGGGACTGCAGTGACGCAGCCACAAGGCCAGGAACACCACGAGCTGCAGGCGGCCAGATGGGCCCCCCAGGTCTCCAGGGGACATGCTGCCCACCGACACCCTGAATTCAGACTTCCGCCCTCCAGGCCGTGAGGCCCCCAGTATGTGGGACTTTGTCCCAGCGGCCCCAGGACACACACAGGGATCAGGAACCTCAGGCCCGTCCTAAAGGAGGGGCCAGACCACCACTGAGATCCCAACCCAGCTGGAGAGGGGTCTCCTCCCTGCCTGAACCCCTTTCAAGGGCCCAAGGAAACACCACCACCCCCATTTCCCTGTCTGGTGAGGACAGTCCCAGTCCTCCAGGGTTGAAATGATAGCCGCACAGTCAGGTGGAGGACCTGCTGGGCCCAGTGACCTGCCATAAAATGCTGGGAATCCTGGAGATGGAGGAGGGGGATCTGACGGCTGTGGGTACCGTGAGAGCAAGGGCCTGGGCCCTTCCCGAGACCCAGGCCCCACATCTGTGCACAGCACACAGCTCCCTGTTGGACCCTGTGGCCGTGAGCCAACAGCTGGCCAGCCCCTGCCGTGAGCCGGGTCTGTGCCATCCGCCAAGGCAGAATCCTACCTGGGCCCCCGACGCCTCCTCAGGCTCGTCTTCGAACACCAGGCCATAGTGCGCTATGAGCACCTCCACGATGCGGGCCTGGTGGGGGTAGTCCACCAGGGACGAGAGGGACACGGTGGCCTCGGTGGGCCGCGGCCGCAGCAGCGTGGGCCCGAACACAATGCCCAGGTTCCCCGGCGTCATCTTGTTCTGCTGCTCCACCTGCACGATCCTGGGGGCAGGCGGTGGGCTGAGCGCGGCCGCGGAACCCGGGGGGCCCCGCCCCAACCGCCGGGCGCCCTCACCTGCGCAGGTGCCGCAGCAGGTACTGCAACGTGGCCCGGTTCTCGGGAGGCAGGTCCCGCAGCAGCTCCCGCAGCCGGCCTGCCATGGCTGCGGGCACCGCCCCGCTCTCCCCGCTGTCGGGCCGTCCCCGAGACGCCGCCTTGGCCTCAGCCTCCGCCTTCAGGTTCTCCTTGGCCAGCCCCACGAGCTCGTGGTACAGGCGGAAGGACAGCAGCGGCTCCGGCAGCTGGGGGCCCGGTGGCAGCAGGGTCAGGGGGCCCAGCACGGCAAGGCCCCGCCCCGCCGCTGCTGGTCACGCCCACCCGGCCTTGGGCACGCCCCTGCCGAGCCTCCTCCGCGGGCGGGGTTCACGGTGCGTGCTGCTGCTCACCTGGCGCAGGTAGAGTTTGAGCACGTTGCTGATGTCATGGGGTGAGGCCTGCGACAGTTCCACCAGCTCCTGGCCGTTCTCGAAGGCCTGGCACAGCTTCTCCACCCGTGTCTTCACCCCGTTGACCCGATAGATGCCCTGGGGGCGGGACTTGGTCAGCCTTTGCTCTCCAGGCCCACTTCTCCCCAGCCCTGCTCCCACCTCCCCAGTGGTCACCTTGGTGCGCAGGGCACGCCGCTCAATCTCGCCCACACATTTCTTGACAAGGAAGGGCACGCCATCTGCAGTGCCGCGGGCCGCCCTGGCAAAGTCCTGCCCAAAGAGCTGCAGCCGGCCCTGCAGTTTCTTGCCACCACACTGGATGGCCAGTGTCTCCAGGCACTTCTTGTGGCAGGCCAGGCAGCACTAGAGGGGTGCAGGGTGAGTGGGACCTGTCACTGCGTCCCATGGGAACCCTCAGGGTGGGAAGATGTTATCCCATGCCCAGCTGGCAGTTCCCTTCTCCTGGAAGCCATCCCGGCCCCGCGTGAGACCCACCTTCTCACACTCAGCGCCCTGGAAGTACACGTAGCTGTTGCATTCACGGCACTTGGCAGGTGTACGCAGCTTGCGCAGATGGTGGGTCCGCGCCGCCTTGGACAGTCCCACATTCCGGAAGGGCCCGCTGGGCACAGCCACAGGCAATGAGGGAGCCATGCCATCAAGCTCACCTGGGGTGGGCGGACGGTCAGAGCGGCCTGATGCCTGGCCCCTGGATACCCAAGGCAGGGCAGAGTGCTGACCAACTCCCCCACCCAAGCAGGGCCTCACTCTGCTCGAAGGCTGAAGTTCCCCGGCCACCTTCCTGGTCCAGCTCCTCACTGGATGACACAGTGCCACTGGACAAGGTTCGCTCAAAATTCTTGAAGTCCCCTGAGCAGGAGATGTGGTGTCAAACCTCCCAGGGCTGGTGGACACTGCCCTGGACCCCTTCCCTGCTGCCAGACAAGCCCTCACCTGAGCCTGAGCCCGCGTCCAGACTGCTGTTGGCATCTGCAGCTGAGGTGGGCCAGGACTTGTGCACCTGGTGTCCACGCCCACCTGGAGCGGGGGACACATCTCCGTGAGGGGCGGTGGGAGGCAGCATCCACCCCCCATGCCCTGTGCCCCCACCCTGCCTGGCACTCACCCCGCCGCTCCTTGGCCAGCACCCCCTCCTCCGGCCCGCCTGCCACCAGGGGGCTGCCAGCCTCTACCCCAGCCACTTCACTGACGTTGAAGCTGCCCTTTCGAGCACGTATCACTGGGGACCTAGGGGTGCACCAGAGAGGCCGCCATGGTGGGGTCACCGAGGCACCCTCACAACCACAGCCCTTTTGGGCAGGACATCGGCTCCCTGTAGTGGGGTAAACTGTCTTCCCGGAAAAAATAGTATGCCTGACCCCAGCACCCGTGAACATGGCCTTGGTTGGAGAGGGCATGTGTGGGGATGTAATCCATCCGCCTCAGGCCACGGTGCCTCAGGGTGGGCCCTGATCCAGTGAGTGGTGTCAACGGAAGAGACCCAGACAAACACACAGGGGACAGACGGCCACATGATGGCAGAGGCAGAGATTGGAGCCTGGGTCATGAGCCAGGGGGGACCAGGAGAGGCCAGAAGCCGGAGGAAACCCGGAAGGACGCTCCCCGAGTGCCTGTGGAGAGCGCACGGCCCCACCCCCACCCCGAATCCCGGCCTCCTGACCGGAGGACACACTCGGCTTCTTAAACGCCCAGCTCTGGGGGATCTGGCCCAGGAGCCCCCTCCCCGGGCGGGCGGCGGGCGGTACCAGGCGCTGGCGGACACGTGGGGCTCAAAGTCGTAGTGCACGTCGGGCTCTTCGCCGCGCTGCTGCTGGCGCACGTGGGAGGCGTACTGCTGCCCCGGGTCGTACAGCTTGCTGCTCTCGCACAGCATGTGGAAGTTGACCGGCAGGGGCGCTGTATGCACGTGCATCAGCTCGTAGTAGGAGATGGTGGCCTGTGGGCGGGGTGCGGGCAGGGGCGTGGTCAGGGGCGTGGCCCGGGCTCCCGCGCTGCCCCGCCAGCCTCGCAGCACCCACCGATTTGATGGTCTGATCGCTCTGCCTAACGACCTCCTGCAGCTGCCGCAGCGCTGTCACCTTGGTGTCCTCCAGCTCCTGCTTCTGCGTCTTGGCATCCGCCACGCACGTGCGATACGTGGCCATGGCCTCCTCTGCCTGGAGGGGTCCACACAGCGCCTTAGCCAGACCCGCCCACCTGGAAGCCCCAGTGCTGAGCCAAGCACAAAGGAAGGTTGTGAGTTAAATTGAACCCTCAAAAAAGATACATGTGCCAGAACCTCTTATGCGGAACAGGGCTGAGTCGACAGGAGCCAGGAGGGTTGGGGTGGTGGCTCCCAGGGGGGTGATTCAGCTGCCAGCTGAATGCGCATGGGGGGGCACGGAGCTACAAGGAGTCATGGGGTACCTGGGAGGAAGGCAGCCCAAGGCAGAGGCAGGTGCTGTGAGATAAATTGTGCCCCCCTGAAGGAAACGTGGAAATCCTGCGACCATGACCTTGTTTGGAAAGATCATCTTTGCTGATGTTATCAGTTATAAGGTTGTACTGGAGCAGGGCTGGCCGACTCCAATGACTGCTGTTCTCACGAAACGGGACAGACATACAGAGGACACACGGCCACGTGGAGATGGAGGCTGAGTGGAGGGAGGCGGTCCCAGGTGCATCTTCTGTGGCACCTGGGGCCACAGAAGCTGGGAGAGACAAGAAGGACCCTCCCCTAGAACCTCCAGCGGAGTGCAGCCCACCCACACCCTGAATCTGGTCTCTGGGCCTCTGGACCGTGAGACGAGCAGCAGCGCGGAATTTGAGACCCCCAGTGTGGGGCTTTGCCACGTGCCTCCGAGACACTGACGCAGGTGGGTGGGGCTGCTCCCCGGCCGCTGAGCCCTCACCTTGTTCTTGGCCTCTTCCTCCAGCCGCCGCCTCTTATCCACGTTCTTGGAGGCGGCGCTACCCGCCCCGGGCCCAGCAGTCGCCTGCTCCTCCTCAGCCCTGGCCACCAGCACGCGTGCCTTGTCATGGTCCTCACAGCGCTGCACGTAGCCCTGCTTGGCTTTGCGCAAGTTGGCCTCGGCGTCTTGCTGGGGGGCCCAAAGGCGGGGAGGCGTCCAAGCCCGTCCTGGACCACCTCTCCAGCCCTCCCTCACTTCCCACCCCAGCCCGGCAGACAACATGCATAAGACCTCTGCCACCACTTCTTTCCCACCAAGATGACACGGTCCAGCACCGAGGTGATACCCGTGACAGACCTAGAGGTCTGAGCATCACACTGGTCCACTGTACAGCCCAGGAGACTGAGGCCAGGCTGAGCTCTGACCTGCACCAATACCCACCACCCACTTCCATCTCAGAGAACATGGAGGCCACCCACAGGAAGTCAGGCACCCTGGGTTGGCAAGGAGCACTGTCACAGAACCAGGTCTTCGGGGTCCACGCCTCCCAGCCCCACAGTCAGGGCGGAGTACCCATAAGCTCGGCAGGCACGGGCTTCCTTGCGCTTGCTGGTTAATCTGTCTGAACAGTGTCACTACGTAGTGAAACCGCTGGGGAGCTGTCCACTAGAGATTAGTAGCCATGAGTAAGCCCACACTTCCCTTGCTTCCTGGGTCCTCTGGCCTCATCGGGGTTAAATGTGAAAAGACGCTTGGCTTCTGTAAGGAGGTGCTGTGGGGCTGGGAGAGCGGCAGATGCCAGCCACCCCTAGAAGCACAATCTTGCACGTGCTGAGAAAATGTGACATTGTCCACCGTAGATGAGTAAGTACAAGGAAGCCCGTGCGTCCCTCGCTGACCCGCGTACTCCAACACTGCTGCAGCCTGCGCGGTTAGAGGCCCCCACACAAAGAACTGGACCCGGAGAGGCACAGCGGGTTCCAGAAAATCATCAGGGTGGGAGCAAGGCCGAAACCAGACAAGCAGAGACTTCAGCGAGCTGCGACTAACAGGCACCAACCGCCGATTATGAGATATCTGCTAGTACTCTGGTGGCGTAGTGCCTAAGGCACTTGACTGCTAACCAGAAGGCTGGCGGGTCAAAGCCACCAGCCGCTCCTCGGAAGGAAGGTTGGGCAATCTACTTCCGTAGTGACACCGCCTTGGAAACCCAAGGAGGGGTCACTATGACTCGGGTCCAACTCGACAGCAGTGAGGTATTTTTTTGGACTAGTCATCTGTCACGGCAGTCACCTGCTACTAACCACTGAGTATCTCTGACACTCAGCCATGCCCTGTGGGAGGGCTCTGAGTGCCTCCTGCCCCTCCCGCGACCAGGAACGCACGCTGTGCCCCACACAGACATGGCGGCCTGGCCAACGGGGTGGATGAGTGTGTGCGATGACTCCTTTCTGCCAGGTGCCCTGAGCCAGCACTTCCCTTAGTCGCTGGTGGCCACTGGCACATCCCTCCCCTCTTCCCGAGCACATGTCGGTGTTCTGGGCACTGTTAACCAAGCACTCACCCCTAGAGCAGCTGGCCAACCCCACTGCTGCGTCTGTTCCTGACAGGGAGGGACACAGTCCCTCTGCTCCAGAGCACAGCATCCCGTGTCGGCTGCTGTGGGGAGACACCACCGGCCCTGGGGCCAGTGCTTGCCATTGGCCTACTAAGGACTCTTCTCCCCAGACCCTACAGAAGCCGTGGGTTTGTTGGCAGCCTCAACACCTGCAAGCCATAGACTGGACTGATGTCTTAGGGTTACTGCTCCTGGTGGCAGGCCTTATCATGCTCTTTGCCATCCTCCATGAGGCGGGGACCATCCCCTGGAGGTGATAATAGGTGTCAGCGGCTTGACACTAACCCTCTCGTACTAGTAACAATCAGCCCCTGTTCACAATCACAAATTCCTAGCTGGCAAAACAGGCCACAAACAGAATAAAAAGTCAAGCTGGTGGGTGGTGGAATATGTAATCCATATCACCAAGAGCTGAGTTCCATAATATGTAAAGCGCTCTGGCAAATCAATAAGTCCAACCCAAAGTGAGCAAAGCATGTGCACCAAGAGGAGGGGACGGGTGCCCTGCACATGAGGAGGGGAGCAGAGTGACCCAAGAGGGTAATTCGTATATTAGATAAGCACTCAAACAATGGGGTGGGGGGGCGCAGCTTGTCATAGACGTGATGTGTGTAACAGCTCAGCAACAACCAGAACGTCCATCCATAGAGAGTAAACCTGGCCCCTGGCACAGCTGAGGTGAGGATGAGTAAGGAGATGAGGGTAAAATCCCAGGAGCGGAACCCGGTCCGCCTGTGGCAAGCTGCCACTGAGAATACAAAGTGGGAAACCAGAGAGAGGGACGTGGGGCAGGAGGGGCCTTCCACCGCACACCGTTAACACAGCCGGAAAAGAAGCCAGAGTTTGAGACTGCGCAAAACGGAAGAGGGCCGCGAGCATCAGAGACCAGAATCCCACAGAGCTAAGCATCGACCTCGTCTCCCTCTGGCCTGCCGTGACCACAGGCGACCCCGACCCTCATGACGGCCAGCAATGGGAGTCATTGGTACAGTCGTACCAGTGCGGCCCCCAAACCAGAAGACCACGCAAGGTCCACGCCAGGCCCCACTCGGCGCACACAGGCCGTACCAGCTTCCGCTGCGCGCGGTGCCAAGCCTCCTTGATCTCCTTCCTGCGCTTCTCGTGCTCCTGCCGCCGCAGTGTCAGGGGCTGCGGAAGCGGACCGATGGTGAGTGGCATGCTGCCCCGCCCAGTGATGCCCTGCCCACCCCGGGCCCCACCCACCTCCCGGCCCCGCCCACCTGCAGGAAGGTCTGCGTCTGCAGCGTGCCGGCAGCCTGCACCATGCAGTGACCGAATTCCAGGTCCTGCTCCAGCGCCAGGGAGTAGATGGACAGCAAGGGCATGTGGGGCTGCGGGGGAGGGACGGTCAGCAGCGCGCCCCGGCGTCCTGGGGCCCCGCGCCGCCTCCTCCCCAGGGCCACGCGGCATGGCTGGCAGCCCCTCACCTAGGCCCCGTGCCTCACCTCCTGCGTGACGCTCTGTCTGCAGTTGTGGACCAACTTCTGCAGGCCTTTGGCGAAATCCAGTTCTGTGGGCGGGCGGGGCAGGTGTGAGGTGAAGAAAGGCAGCGGACGTCCTTCGTGGACCACCTCCAAGCGGCCCCCAAACCAGGAGACCATGCAAGGTCCACGCCACCCCCATCCCTCACCCAGCACTGCGCGCTTCTCCAGGTAGGCGATGACGTCTTTCATGTACTTGGCCATGTTCTTGGCGTACTGCAGCGCCACGTCCACCCCGCCCTCACAGCGCTGCAGCATCATGTCCACTTCCTCAGGACGCAGGCAGCCTGCAGGGGGCACACTCAGACCAGCTCCCCGCCACCAGGCTACCCCTACCCCTCAGCCTCCACCCCTGCCGTCCCGTGCACCCTTCAAACTCCTTCCAGCGGCCTGTGGTGGAGACTCACCCTCATCACAGTCCTCAGTGCTGGGGGGGGTACCCTCACCCCCATGTCCATACAGGTGCTCCATGGCCTATACGGGAGGAGACAGGTGAGGCCAGCCCTGTGCTGGGCCCTGTCTCATGGCCACACTGCAGAACACGCTCCCCACTCCCCTGGGTACAGGCCGAAGCCCACAGGGGAAGCATGGTGACCTTTCACCCCTGCCCGCCTGACCCTGTGCCACACCCAGGGCTCCCCTCCCTCGCCCCTGCTCACCTGGCTTGGGTCCCCTGGGGGCACGGACAGGAGGGTGCTGCTGTCCACTTCGCCCATGAGGAACTCGGACACGCTGCCAGGAAGGGGGTCAGTGTCACATGCCTCCCTGGAACCCACCCCCACCCCCACCCCGCTGGCTGCCACAGTCACTCACGTATTGCTGAAGGAGACAGCAATGGTCTCCAGGGCCTTCTCAAACTCCTGCTTGTCCACCTCACTGTTGCACTCATAATGGAAGCCTGCAGGCAGAGGAAGGGAGGCGGGTCATCCACCACAGCCACCTCATGGGAACCCTTACGCCCAGGGAAGCACTGAAGCAGCGTGTCCATCAAACTCCTATGCATCCTTCAAAACCCACTTGCATTTTACAGGAATAAACTTTTTAATCGTAGAGAGAAATTTTCTGTACAGGAAAACCACTCTGAGACATAATGGCAAATGAATTCCTGATTGTTGTCGTCAGTTCCAACTCACAGAGACCCCGTGTACAACAGAACAAAACGCTGCCCGGTCCTGTGCCGGCCTCACAATCCTGCTCTACCTCAGCCCATCACTGCAGCCACTGTGTCAGTCCATCTCGTCAAGGGCCTTCCCCTTTTTCGCTGACCCTCCACTTTACCAAGCATGATGCTCTCCAGGGACTGGTCCCTGCTGACAACATGACCAAAGGTGACACGAAGTCTGGCCAGTCTCACTTCAAGGAGCATTCCGGCTGCACTTCCTCCAGGATAAATCTGTTCGCTCTTCTGGTGGTCCATGGTCCTTTCAGCATTCTTCGCCAGCACCACAACTCGAAGGCATCAACTCTTCTTCGGTCTTCCTTATTCATTGTCCAGCTCTCACATGCGTAAGAGGCAACTGAAAATACCATGGTTTGTGTCAGGTGCACCTTAGTCCTCAAGGAGACATCGTTGCTCCTAAGCACTTTAAAGAGGTCTTTGCAGCAGATCTGCCCAGTGTAACACGTCATCTGATTTCTGAACTACTGCTTCCATGGGTGTTGATTGCAGATCCAAGTAAAATGAAATCCTTGACAATTTCTATCTTTTCTCCATTTATCATGAGATTGCTTATTGGTCCAGTTGTGAAAATTTTCATTGCATGTTGAGATGTAATCTATACTGCAGACTGTAGTCTTTGATCTTCATCAGTAAGTGCTTCAAGTCATCCTCACTTTCAACAAGCAAAGTTGTGCCATCAGCGTATCGCAGGTTGTTAATGATTCTCCGTCCAATTCAGATGCTGTGCTCTTCTTCACATAGTCCAGTTTCTCAGATTATTTGCTCAGCATACAGGCTGAACAACTGTGGTGAAAGGACACAACCCTGATACACACCTTTCTTGATTTTAAACCATGCAGTGCCCCCTTGTTCTATTTCAATGACAGCCTCCTGGTCTATGTACAGGTTCCTCACGAGCACAATCAAGTTTTCTGGAATTCCCATTCTTCTCAGCGTTATCCACAATTTGTTACGCTCCATGCAGTCAAATGCCTTTGCATAGTCAATAAAACACAAGTAAGCATCTTTCTGGTATTCTTTGCCTTGAGTCAAGATCCATCTGACAGCAGCCATGATATCCCTCGTTCCGCATCCCCTTCTGAATCCCACTTGCATTTTTGGAAGTTCTCTGTCAATATACTGCTGCAACCATTTTTGAAGTACCTTCAACAAAATTCTACTTGCCAGTGATGTTAACGATACGGTTCAATAGTCTCCCCACTCTGTGGGCTCACCTTTCTCTGGCATGGGGGGAAACACAGATGGGCTCCATTCGCTTGTACAGGAAGCTGTCTTCCAAATGCTTGGCATAGCCGAGTGTTTCCAGTGCCACACCATTTGTTGAAACATCTCCCAGGGGTTCCATCAATACCTAAAGTCTTGGTTTTTGCCAGTAGCCTAGTAACATGTTATAATATAGATGAACCCTGAAAAATTACACTACGTGAAAAGAGCCAGGTACACAGGGACACAAGGGACACATACTGTGTGTCCCCACTTACATGAAATAGCTAGAATTGGCCAAGGCATAGAGACCAAAGTTTATTAATGGTTACCAGGGCTGGGGCAGGGGGTGGGCAGGCAAGTCTTAGCTCCGGGGACTCTGGGCATCCAGTCATAGTGATGGTGGGTTTGGAAAAGGATAGTGGTGGTGATCGTACAACATGGTGAACATGACCAGTGTCACTAAATTGGGCCCATAAAAATGTTGAATTGGCAAATGTTTTGTTTTATATGTATGTATGTGTATGTATGTGTGTTTATATATACGTACATATAAACCAAAAAACCAGCTGGTTGATTCTGACTCAGTGACCCTCTAGGACAGAGCAGCTGGTATTCCAACCGTCCACCCTCTGGTTAGCAGCCAACCTTAGCCATTGCATCAGAGCTCATTTTTAGTAGGTATCCTGTAACTAGAGCTATAATTTTACAGTAGAAGTGAATGAATAAGATCAACTTATTTAATGTGTCACCCCCAATAAAAAAACACCTTCCAAGGTTTCCTCCTCCAGGAAGCCCTCCCAGGTGGCGCCCTCGCTCTGCCCCAGCTCACCTTTGACCTTGTTGATAAGGGTGCCGGCGGCGGTGAGCGTCTCCACAGTGTTCAGCAGCGGGTATTTACAGATGACCTGGCGCATCACACGTAGCGCCTCGCCCAGGCTCTCGTGCGCCAATGGCCGGCGGGCCTCCAGGAGGTCTGTAGACACAGAGGGTGTGAGCAAGGAGGGAGGAAATGCCTGCCAGACTCATCAGAGTCTCTGCCTCTGCATGGGGAAACTGAGGCAGAGCTGGGTGTGGGCACCTGCCTAGAGCTCACTGTGGGGCCTTGGATGGCGCATGGTCCCCTCTGTTCAGAACACCTATCCCCTGTCCTCCCAGAAAGCAAACTCTTGCTGTACCTGAAGTGGCAGTGCTGGGGCTCCTCCACCAGGCAGCCCACCTGGCCCATCCTTTGCCCTAGCCCTGGGGAGTTCAAGATCCTGTCTAGTCCTCTCGCCAGCCCACTGGTCGGAGTACCCCATTATCTCGCAGCCCCATCCACCAAGGGGGGGTCTTCTCATCACACCCACTTTGCAGATGGGGAAACTGGGGGCGTGAGAGGAGAAGTCACTGATCAACCACCACGCGGCTACTCCGTCCACATTTGGCCCCACGCCCAGGGCTTCAAATGCCTGTGCTCTCAACGCTGTTTGTGGGACAGCGGCAGCTGCGGCAGTGCGTGCAGGTAAGCGCAGCACAGACCTGCGCCCTGCGCGGGAGGAGAAGCCAGGAGCGAGACGGGGCTGACGCAGTGCCTGCAGGGGAGGCCCGGCGGCCGGCAGGCCAGGGGGCTTTGACGCCTCTGTTCCCAGTGAATCTGTGCCTCGGGTGTTAGGTGCCGTCGAGTCGGCTCTGGCTCACAGCGACCCCGTGTGCGTCAGAACGAAACCCTGCCCGGCCCTGCACCAGCCTCACAATCCCTGCTGTGCCTGAGCCCAGCGTTGCAGCCGCCCTGTCGTCCACATCACTAAGGGCCTTCCCCGTTTCTCTGACTCCCCACTTTACCAGGCGTGGTGCCCTTCTCCAGGGACTGGTCCCTCCTGACAACACAACCGAAGTACAGGAGACAAAGTCTGGCCATTCTCGCTTCTAAACAACACCCAGGACGCTCAAAGCACCAAGCGAACTGTGAAATCAAGTGCCCATCCCCTCCCGGCATCCAGGTCCGAATGCTGTCCCAGGGAGACCCAAGGCGACCCTGGTGCGTAGCCACTGCTGCCTCAAGGAGGTAGGAAGGGGATTCAGGAATCCGACCTAGCCCTGCACGCCCCACATCCTCAGCCACCAAGCCCCTGCACCCACCAGGAAGTCGGCTGCAAGCAGGATCCCTGCAAGGGCAGACCCCGCTGTGCAGGGCCAAGGCAAATGCTCAGCCGCTGCTGTGTTCCCATTAGAACAGTCGCCTGTGTCCTGAGCACTGTGTGCTCCCAGCAGCTGGGACGGCTGGGAGGCCCTGTACCTGCCTTGTCACCTCACCTTGGGGCCCTGGGTGCATGGTCCCACAAATGCATGTGAGCTGTGGAGCACAGGAACCATCAGGGTCTCCAAGGGCAGACTCGTGGCCATACCGGCTCTGGCTAGTCTACATGGCCTCCCCCCAGTAGAGGAAGTCCCACTAGCCCTGGCCAGGGTCCTGGCTCCCTCTGCTCAGGGCGCACAGTAGCCGGGGGAAGCCCCAGCCCCAGAGACAGGGGCCAAAAGCAAAGGCAGGTGGGGAAACTGAGGGCTCGAGTGGAGGTTCCCTTCCCATGTGGGCATGCCCACGCCGTCTCAGGCCGACGGTGCCAGGGTCCCCTGGCCAGGTGTGGATCCCAGGGACCCACAACAAGGCGTAATAACCCCGCTGCAGAGAGCGCTGGCTGCAGGCCAGATGCTGAGGGTGCCGCGGTCCAGTGAAGGCGAGCACCCCATTTCAGAGAGGCACCCCAGGCTCAGAGGCTGTGCAGCTTGCCCCCGAGGGTCACAGGCGGGTCTGGGGAGAGCTGGGACTCAAACCCTTATCCTTCCCACACCAGACCCTGCCTCCAGCCCTGCCACCCCGAGAAGCAGAGGGGTGCTGGCCTGCTCCTGGCCCCGTTTCCTCTAGGCAGCCAGCAGCTTGGCTCCATGCCCTGGCTGGGCCTCCAAGGAAGCTCCACACAGAAAAAGAACCGAGATTAGCAAGTTTCCCCAGGAAACTGGCTCGGGGCCGCACCCCTGGAACCACATAGCCCTGGGGCTCCCAATGGGGCCAGGCCCCTCCCACTGCACAGCCCCCTAGCACAGGGTAGGCTGCTCCATGGCTGTGCTTGGATCCTGGCTCTGGGTGAGCAGGAGGCTGGTTTGCCTGGGGCCTCGGTTTCCTTGTCTGTGAAACGGGTGGCTGGGGAGCAGCTGAGAGCGCTCAGCACAGCCCTGGCACTGCGTTTCCGGAAGGATGAGCGGGGCCCAGGCAGAGTATGAGGTGCCCGCCCGGGCTGCCAGGGACAAACAGGAAGCAGATGAAAATAACTTGGCAGGAAGCAAGGCTGTCAGCAGCCACGTGGAAGAGAAAACGGAACTGTATCCCTCGGCCCCTCACTCCCAGCAGCTCCCATGCCAATCCTGCCTCTTGTCACTCCTAGTCTCTACTCAGTCCTAGTCCACCCCCAGTCCATGCTGCACCACCTCATCTCATCCCTCCTTTGCTCTAATACCTTCTATGGCTCCCCGTTGCTCTCGGGATAATTCCTGCCTGGAATTCTCATGCCTTGCACCTTACGCATTTCACACACCAGCACCTTGTTCTCTAAATGCACTACCATTTCCACGTTTCTGAGTCTGTGCATGTGCCTTCCTCTCTGCCTCAATACCTTTTCCTTCTAGTTGCCCCTAACTCCTATACACCCCTCAAAGCCTCAGCTGCAATGCCCTCTTCCACACAGCTCTCCTTGCAACCCCCTTCTGAGCCTCCGTCAGTGCCCCCCCACCTCCCACGGCCTCACAGGGCTTGTATCGGCCTTCCACCAGGCCACAGGGCCTGCAGAACCTCACCTTCTCGCAGCACACACTCTTTGAGTTTTTCCAGCCCCTCAGCAAAGCGAGCCACATCAGCCAGCAGGTGTGCGATGTCATCGATGGCATCGGGACAGGGCCCCTCAGCGCTCAGTTCGGCAGGGCTGGCGGCTGTCAGTGGGCTTCGGTGGCCGCGGCCGAGTGTCCAGGAACCAGGCCCAGACAGGGGGAAGCCGGCAGCACTGGCGTGTCGGCTCAGGCTGGTGGGCCGCTTGAGGGTGCCCGTGGCCTTGGCATTGGAGGTGGCGACTGGCGGCTCCAGGCCGGGTCCAGGGCAGGCTGCGTCTGCACCGTCTTTCCTGGGGAGCTCCTGGGGAAGGGGAAGGGAAGGAAAGGGGAACAGAGCCACTACACACACTGCCTCATTTTCCCTGCAGTGAAGTGGGCTCTACAGGGGTCAAAGGCCAGAGGTCACAGGGCTGAGATTTGATTCAGGGCCCCCCCACAGTTACCCAATATCCTCCCCCACAGAGCTTTCACAAACAACGGTCTGCCCAAACCACAACCGGGGGCGGGGCCTACAGGGCACAGGGGAGGTATCACCCCACTTCCTGATGGGGGTGGGGAGGGCCGGGGCCCTTGTAGCCCCGCTCAGATCCCTCCAGACGCACCCACTTCCCTGTTATGGCACTCTGTGGGTTTCCACACACTACAGGCCCTACACACCCCTAGTCCATGGACACTCCAGTCCCATGGATATCCCCAGACCCTGTAGATACCCCCTGGCCCCTTAGGCATTCAAGTCTTACAGACACCTCCCAGACCCTGTAGGCCCCAAGATACTCTCTCAAGTCCCATAGACCTACCCCAGACTCAGTGGACACTCCCATGCCCCTATAAACCCAGTGGATCCCATTACACACCTGTTGCCCCATACACCTTCCACCATGGTCCCCCACCACCCCAACAGTGCCTGAGACCCCCACCTCCTGAGACCCCCATCTTGAGGCATTGTAAACCAATGCTGCCCCACCCTGGCTCCAGTCCCACGATGGCACCTGCCCCACCCACTCTCTTAGCCCTTGAAGGAGCAGGGGGACGTAGAACCACCCCAAAGGTCCCCTACCACGAGCCAAACACCCATCTCTCCTCTTGTCCTCGGCAGCCCCTGCAGTTTGGCCCGGTGAGGGCTGTAGCTGGCCCCCCGCCGCCGACCCAGCATGGCGTCGCAGCCTGGTCCCCTGCGCTGGGGACGCACCCTTCTCCCCCACCGCCCGGTGTCATGCTCAGGTCCCCGCCCGCTCGCCACTTCCCACGGAGGCACCACTTACCCCCAAGGACTGCGGGCTGGGGCTTCCCGCCCGGTTCTTCTTTGAGATGGAAGGGGTTTTCATGAGCTCACGCTTCTTTCTGGAGAACATGGTGGCCCCGGCCAGTGGCCGCTGGAGAGGGCGGGCCGGGGTCTCAGCGCTGCAGCTCCCACAGCTGGCTGCCTCGCGACCACATTGCAGCAGGCCACCCCCCCCAGCTGTCAGGCCCACGTGACTGGCCCCGCCCTCAGAAGCGGCTCTGCCCCTCCCCCACTCACACACAGGAAAAGGCTTCGGTGTAGACCTGCTCCCCACCCTCCCTGCCTCGGACCTACCGACCTATGGCAGCTAGCTCCGCAGAGTGGGCGCGAAGGTGGGGCCATGCCCCACCCACCTGTGGCCCCACCCCAGGTCCGGCCACGCCCCCAGCTTCCTTCTCTAGCAGCTCTGCCTTGCGGATGTGGGCCGCGTGTGCCGCTGCCTGACACCGGGCAGCCGGACAGGCACTGGGGTCAAGCAACACTGACCGCACTCGGACACACCCAGATGATACAAAGAGGAGTATACAGACGCAAGTGCGTCCTAACACGCAGGGTCAAACTTACACCCCATTAGACCCCAGCCGCTCACGAAACCACGTGATGCTGGCTGAGCCCTACACCTCTGGAGACCCGTCCTGCAGACTTGGGGCTACACAAGGGTGGAGGGGCGTCACGGCCCAGCTCACCTGCCCTGGAGCCCCAGCCTGGTGCCCACCTAAATCTCCCAGCGAATCCAGGCCTCGCTGGGGCTGGGGCCACGCTGGCAGAGAGCGCTAAAACACA